AGAACAGGAAAAGGAAAAACAAGGAGCAATTCCAAAACAACCAAGGAAGACTAGGGGACGTGGAAAGTCAAAGGAGTAAAGGTTAATATACTTAATGTAAAATGTAATTGAGGTAAATGGAGAGGGTCTGGTATGATTAAGTTTTAGTAGAAAAAGATAAGCATTAATGGGTAAACCAGAAAGAAAAGGAGGGAAGAAGGGATGAGAATGGAATGGTATTATATGAAGAAGACATAATGAGACCTAAAGGGAAATACCCAGTGGGGGTAACTTTAGGCAGTGGAGGAGATAAAAGAGAAGGGGAGGAATAATCGGGAATAAATAATAATAAATGGGACAGAAAAAAGGGGAAGACAGAATACAGAGGAATAAATTGGAAATAGATGTATAGATATAGATGGGAAAATCTGGGAAGAAAAAAAAAATTATGAAAACTAGATACTGACATTCCCTTCTCATCCTTTGTTTTTTATATTTTTATATTTTGCTTTTACTGTTATTATTACTAATATTTACATTGCTTTTCCTGTGTATGTTGTAAAAATACAGTATAGATTTATATAATATTATAAGGCGAGATAGGGAGAGAGTCGTGGTGGATTGAGACAGACACGTTCCCCCCCCAGGGTCAGTAGGAAAGACCTGAAGAATTTTTGCGGAGTACGGGGGGGGGAGTGGGGAAGCACGAGGTAGATAAATGTATTAGGAATTTAAAAGGTTTATTTTTATTTTTATTTTTTTGTAATCAGGGGAGCGACGGTTACACCAATCATAGTAAAAAAAAATCGAAATATGGCTAAACATTTAAATTTTGTAACGTGGAACGTAAAAGGCCTGGGATCTAATTCAAAGAGGGCTAAGATACAGAATGTATTGAATAAAAGCAATAATGTAATGATATTTTTGCAAGAAACTCATCAAAAAAGGAGGGTTTTAATGAACTGAAGGGCAAATGGATCCAAATATATGAAAAATCTTTTGGGACCTCAAAGTCTCGAGGCATGGCAATATTAGTATCAAAAAAGTGTGATTGAGAAAATAGAAAAAGATACTGTAAAGGCAGATATTATTAATTTCAAAAAAGTGTTAATTTAAGATTGAAAAAATAGAAAAAGATACTCAAGGTAGATATCTGATAATACAAGGTAAAATGAGAGGGGAAGAGATCATGCTTGTAAATGTGTATGCACCTACTGAGCCACAAGAAGAATTTTTAGAAAATATATTGAGAAAGCTGGACAAATTGAGGAAAGGGTTAGTAATATTAGCAGGAGATTTCAATAGGGTAATGGATTTGACGAAAGATAAATCAAAGCTGCAGATTGGGGAAAGGAAGGCTAAAATTACAGGTTTTAATAGATTAATAAGTAAAACTGATTTGAAAGATGTATGGAGAGAGCTAAAGGGGGATGAAAGAAGATTCTCTTTTCACTCACAGGTGCATAACACATATTCAAGAATA